ACATTAGAATAGTACTCAGCCATAAGGAAGGATTAACTTGTGACATTTCTAAATGGATGCACCTTGGAGCCATACTCTTAAATGAAGTAAATCAGACACATATGTGTCAATATTGGATCCTTTCTTTGGTATGACATGCCAAATGTTTAAATAAGGACCAAAGTGTGTCAAAGGTATTGTGAAATAGGAAAAAAAATTTTAAAAGAAAGAGGAACCAGGAAGTGGGGAAAGGGAAAGGAAGGAAGGGAAAATTTAAAAAAAGAGTCCATACACTTATGTGAAATAAATAGGACACATCTGCTCAAATATCTAATTTTTCTCTGATGGGAGTAAAAAAGGACCAAAATGTTTAACAGATTCTGGGAAGTAGGAAGAAAATATTTAAATAGGATAGGGAATAATGCATGAAGGAGAGGGAAAGAAAGGAAAAGAAAAGAAAAAATGGAAGCACACAGAAACAAATCTTTTGTAAATTAGAAGGGGAAAAAAGGAGAGGAAAGGGGGTTGGAGAAAATAGAAGAATGAGGAAATATGCAGAGGTATAACTCCTTTAATAAATGTGATTATTATGTATATATAAAATGTATAAATAAAAGTAATCCCTGCCAAAAACTGTGGGAATTCTTCAGAAATTCATGGATGCATTCTTGTTCTCAGAAAGTGTTGCTTTATATATCATAGATTTTCATTTTATTTTCCCCAGTATATATTGTCTAGGGTGACTGGGCAAAACCAAGTAATCCTATAATACATATCTTCATTTATAAAGTGTTGGCATAGCAACTAGGTGGCACAGACACTTGATCTTTAAATTTTCTTCATATATACTTCATCTCATGCAATAATTTGAGCAATTATGTTGCCACCATGTGACTCTGATCAGCATGATCTGTATTGGCTTAGCAAGCGTTTATGCCTGTGATCTTCCAATATTATCTAATTTTAGAATTCTATATGAAAAGACAACTCCCTAAGACTACTGTTGTACTCATCAAGATCACAACATTAACAGTTGTTCCATTTTATTTTTTTTAATCCATTTTTGTGGATTTGTTTTTATTGCCTGGGACTTAGGGGATAGAAAGGGAAGTGTCACTGTGGGGGCACACCCCACTCCCACCCCCCAGGGAATGTCCATTCTAATCCTCCTGGATGTTCTCTGAAGCTTTTTCTTCTTTTTCTTGGCACTGCTCTTACTGGCAGCGGCCTCCTTAGGCCCACTGCTGACTGGCTCTTCCTTCGAAGAAAATTTTCTCTTTTTCTTGGGGACACTCCTGGCTGCCTCTCCTGGTTCTCTAGCAGTTTCCTCTTGGGTAAAGACTTCTTGGGTGGACTGGTGCTGCCACCAGCTGTCTCTTCCACATCACTATTAATCAACTCTTCCTTGAAAAAATATTTCTTTTTCTTGGGTTTGGAGACAGAGACAGATGGATCATCCATTCCGTTCTCCTAAGGAACCTCTTGGAATTTTTGCTTTTTTTTTTCTTTTTGGGTTTTTCCTGAGTCTCCTCGTGTTCCTCTGGAGTGTTACTGCTGTTTTCTGAAGATGCCAAAGCGGCCAGTGCAAGCCAGGCGCTTCTTTTCCTTCTTCAAGCGCTTCTGTTCCTGTTTCGCCAGCTTCCTGGTGATTTCAGCAGCAGCTTCCTCTGCCTGAACCATTGCCTCCTTTATGACATCTAGATTCTTCCGTGGAATCTCTCCAGTCTCATAGAAGGACAGGCGCTCTTCAACTTGTTCCCGAAGCCTCTCCCCAAATACACTGATGGGCACCTCAGAGAAGCAATCGATTCTGGAGGCAATACTGCACTTGTTTGCCAGGTATGGGGAGATGCGGCCTTTGTTCTCGGCAGCTGCTCGGCCAATGAAGGTAGAGTGGAAAATGAGTCCACTCATAACAAAAGGTGTGTTAGGGCTCTGGAAACTTGATCCCTTTGCTGGGCCCTGGGAAGCCATTTTAATTTAGTATAATGCAAGGAAATTTTTACTAAAATTACAAGGATTATTTTCAAGGATGTGAGCAGGTGTAAAGAACCGTAATGCAATAGCTTAGAAGTAATAACAACATGATATTCCAGTATTCAGATTTAAAGTGGTGAGGGGAATGTTCCAATTAGATTGGGAAGATCTAGAGCTTTGAGTGTTTTTTTAATATTGAGAAATCCAGAAAACTCTCACTCATGGGAGAGCAGTGAGGAGACAGAAACAATGGCCCCTTTTCTCTTCTTCCTTAGTGCAATAGTTGATTGTGGTGTCAACTTGAATGGATTCAGAAATGACTACTGGATTAGTGGATCACAGTTCTGGGTGTGTCTTTTTGATCAATTTATAAGCAACAAACTGAGAAAGAAATACAGTGGATGTGGGTAGAATAAAACATTAGGTTTATACACTGGATGAAATCAAAAGGGAAAGAAAGAGCTTTTCCCTTTTGCTTCTTAATATATTTTCTTAAGTAACTTGTCATGTGGTCATAGCCGATACTTATACCTATATTTTTCTACTATCCATTTTGTACCCCATCAGCCTTCAGGAAACACCTTAGCAGGTTACTGTTCTTCATCTGGCAGGGTTACCCTGAAGGTTCTGGGCCGTTTGTCATCCTGATTGGATCAGATTAGTATAATTTCCCACTGACCTTAATAGCATGGCATGATAATACTAGGAGGCACCTTAAGTGATCTGCTGCACTTCAAATATATTTTTTCTTTTCTCTATGTAGAGTAAATTTTATTTATCCTTCATAGCCTGGACCAAAAAACCCTGCCAGCACCATACCTCTCTTTTTAGCTTGTTTCCTCAGTCAGAGGCATCAGGAGACCAAAATGAGCAGGGTGAAGTCTTAGCTTCTAGTTCAATGAAATCATTCCTGTACCTCCTGGTACAAGTCTTAATCCCTCTGAAGCTAAGACAACCAAGCTGGCAAAGTATAAAATCATGAAGAACAAAAGCATAAGATCATGGGACAAAAAATTTGAGTAATGGGTCACTAGGGGCAACATTTCCACTTCCACCCCTTGATTCCCAGACTCATAAATTCTGGCTATGGGAAACAGAGTACCATGTAGTGGATGATGATTCAATGCATATACAGCCTTCTGGAGAAACTTGCCCTGGGCCTGCAAGGTACTGCCATCTAGCTAATGCTATAACTGAGTCTTCAAAAAGCTATCCCATCTTTCTGTCAGTCCAACTGCTTCTGGATGAAGAGGAACATGTAAAACCAGTAAATTCCATGAGCATGAGCCCCGTGCCTTACTTCTTTGTCTGTCAAATGTGTTCCCTGGTCAAAAGCAACAGTGTGTGGAATACCAGGGCATTCTGTGAGTTCATGGAAGGTAGTTTTAGCAGGAGCATTGTGTGTGGGGGAAGGCAAATCAGCACCTATCCCAAAACTGCATTTTTCATTATAGTAGCAGTTCAATATAACCATTCTGCCACTGGTTGCAGGGTGATGCAGAGGGACAGTGCAGTACTGGAGATTCAGAGTTAATCTGTGATACTGGGCATTCAGCAGTGGTTATAACAAGACCAGCTTTGGTGAGTGGAAGTCTGTGTTGCTGAGGATCTCTCTTTGCTTCCTGTTTGCTGTTCAAGAGCAAGAAGCAAACTTTCTTTACCATGCCCCTCTGCCATGCCATCCTGCCTTGGAGTCTATGAACTGAAACGTCTACAGATTGTGAACAAAGTTAGTCTTTCTAAGATTTGTGGGTGCTGGGTAGTGTGTCTCAGCCATAGGAAAGTAATTTAGACACTAAGTGACTTCTTTCTGAAGTAAAAATTATCCAGTACTGTTTATTCTGATTTTTCAAAATCATAAGCTAACACTATTACTTTAGGAAAAAAAAAAACTATGAAGAATAAGAGCAAGCATGAAAAAATTGTTCTTTTAACACATTAAGAATATCTTAACCTAAGTTTATCTGCAATCATAATTTGTAAGTAACATTCACAGTAAGAAGAAAAATATAAATTAAGTGTATTGGGTTGTTTTTTTTTTTTTTTGGTACCAGGGATTGAACCCATGCCAGGCAGGTGCTTATACCACTGAGCTAAATTCCTGCCCAGTGTATTTCAAAATTGTAATCATACAAACATAAAACTATATAGTAGTGTTATTTGGCATCAGTCCTGAAGGAGCAAAAAACAGGTCATATTGGATGTCATTTTTGACTTATCTTTCTCATCTTTTTCTTTCAGTCAGACTTTTCTCTGTATACATTTTGTGTAGTCAAATGTGTGGGTGTATATATATATTTAAAATTGTGAGTGTATATATATTTTTAAAATTTCTGATGTCTTTAGAGATAGTATGTTGCAGTGGAAAAGATCAAGATCAGGGATAAAGTATTTAGATACATGTCCTGTCTTTGCCATTTCCTAGTTAGCTATATGCCTTATATTTCTTACCTGTAAAGTACAAGCAATGGCCCCATGTTGAGTTAAATATGTAAAAGGTTTAAAACGATCCCGGATGTATAGTAATTTGTAAGCTATAATCATTATTAGACAACCTTAAAACTCAAGAAGTTCTATGTTAAGGATATTATCTATTTTAAAAAAGCTTTTATGAATCTGTGGGAATCACAAGTTTTATTTAAGTTTTATTTCCTGAGGTAAAAGACAGCATATAAATGTACAGCGCTTTTGTCATTAAATAAGCATCTTCATATTCGTCCCAGGAAAATGCGAGAGTTAAACTGAGTAATATAATTCTGGGCAGGGTCTATCAGATCAGAAGAGAGAAGTAAGTTTTTTTTAAGCCTGCTTAAGTTTTACCTGGGCATCATTTATTGTTGAAATGCGGTTACTGTCTTCCCTTAATCCCAACCTGTTTACAGAATTTAAAGGCAATTTCAATTCTGAGTCACGGAGCTTGGAGAATCACCAAGCGCGGGACCGCACAGCGATTTCTCTCTTCAAGAGAGCAAGCAGCCGCCGGACGATCTTGAAAACGTCGCTGTTCAATCGTTTAAACAAGGCGCTGCCTTCTCATTGGCCAGGAGCTTCTGCTCACTGATTGGTCTTTTCAGAACGGGGGCGGTTCCCCAAGGTGCCCATTGGTGGATACGGGAAGTTTAAACTAAGGCTGAAAGGCTGTACGAATTTTGCTCCAGTGCAGAGCCCGCGAGTGTTTCTGATTTTGGTTTCTGGCGCTCCTACGACCACCCGTGCGGCCTCTAGGGAAGCGGCCAGCGTGAAGTCGGAGTCCAGGCTCTGGAAAGCAGCCGGCTTGGAGCCGGCGGACGAGGCTGGCCGGGCCGAAACTGCCATGGCGACCCGGCCGGCCGGGCGGAGCTGCTGGGAGCTGAGCCCGGCCGAGCGGATGCCGCGGGCCGGGAGGAAGAAGCCCGCGGAGGCTCCCGAGTCCCCGGCAGTGCTATCTCTCAGCCACTTCTGCAGGTCTCCTTTTCTCTGCTTCGGAGATGTTCGCCCGGGAACCTCGCGGACGCTGCCTCTGGTCTTGCAAAACCCTAACGAGGAGGTGGCCGAGGTGGAGGTTGCCCACCTGCCGGCGGCCGAGCTGGGCTTCAGCGTGTGGCCGCGCCACTGCGTGGTGCAGGTGGGTCCGGGAAGGGCGGGCCGCCCCCTCCGCCGGCGGGGCGAGGCTGGCTAAAGACACCCCTGAACAAGGTCCTTAGAAAAGCGTGGCGGCTTCGTTTCTGTCGGTACCGCAGCCGGGTCTCGGGCTCGCGCGCGCTGCCTTCTCCCGGTGCATGAGATGCCAGGGTGGGCGCTCACCCCGCGCCTCCGAGCATGCACTGGAAGACTTCAGGCGTTCAGAGCAACTTTTCATTTGGCAGGCGTTTTCATAGACTTTAGGTAGTGCAAACTGATTTTGCTGTTCAAAATCAATAAATGACACTTTAAACTTTTATATTAACAGATAGACTTTTAAAGTAGACTTAAAGTGTTGCAGAATAGTTGTACTGTCTTCTACTAATACATGACACTTTGACAGTCTTTTTAAAGATTGTCAGAACATTGATTAAAACTTTTTAAAAATTACTGCCCCCTACACTTTTATGTTCTAAAACTAACTCCTTTTTCTGGTGAAATAATGAACTTTGTTTTGGCTAAATGTCTACAGGAAAAGAACCCTTTTACAAACTTTGTCAAGTTTCCATTGTGTATCTGTGGTGTTTTTTTGTGTTTTCCTCTTTTTTTCCCCTTTGATGTCCGTGTAGTTTTAATAATGTATCAAATTTAATTTTTTGGATACCATTTTAAGAACTTCCCTATGGTTTTTACAGCCAAAATAGTGTTCCCATTTCTATCATCGTCACCAAAAAGCAGGTAATTTTGTTCTTATTTTGACTACTTTTATGTTGATATCCACTAGAAGTTCCAAAAGTGTGCAAAGTATGCAAACCATTGACTGAAAAAATGGAACCTCATGAGCTCTTAAGAGACTGAAGCTCCTTGAGCTATGTGTCCTGAGTGGTTCATTTACACTCAGGAACTGTCCCTTCTGCTCCCATTTATGAATTGCTAATTGCCTGTTTTGCTTTGTATGAAAGACAGATTTCTATTCACATAGTATTTTTCTTGTTCCTTTTTGTTGTAATGTACAAGTCAAGTTCATCATTGTTATTGTTTTTAATATAAATTCGGTTTTGTAGAGTAAAAATTTCATTGTTCTTGTTGAAAACTAACTGCTTATGATGTTATATAATTTCTCATTTGGAAGAAAAACTTGTCCTTTTCCTGGAGAAACAACACAGTTTGTTTTGTCATTTCAAGGTTTTGCATTGGGCAGATTTTACCTGCCAGACTCTGAACTCAGGAATCAGACTGCCTAGGTTCTGATTACACACTAGCTTCATGACTTGGGCTATGCTTTTGGATATTGGTGACTTCATCAGAAAAATGTACATAATTGTAGTGCCTGCTTCCTAGGAATGTGATCATGAAATGAATTGTGTGAGATACATCTGCTTGGAACATAGTTATTTAGCAAAGAACAGTATTATGATGTGGACTGTAAGATCTGTCCAGAAGTGAGATTCAGCTCATCATCTTTTTTTTTTTTTTTTGCATAAAATCTTTATAATGTGGGGCCATTATATCTGGAATAGAACTACTATACATAATAAGGAAGCATATACAATTAAAGTTTTAAAAAATGAAACAAAATGATTGAGAGACTGTTTCATGGCTTTCATACAAATATGTTTTATTATAATTTTATTATGAGCCCAGTTATTGCTGATGCATTTTTTTTCTTTACAATGAAGAGAGCAAATAGGGTAAATAAAGCATACTTGAGTTATTAAATGCCATTAAGTGATGTAGAGTTATCGGTCCTTTATTATATTCTAAATTCTATATAATGTATTTTGGTTATTATATAATTACTACTTTGATAATCATTTAAAATGTATTCTTTTGATGATAGCCTACAGAAAAAGTTGTCATTTCCGTTAACTGGACACCACTGAAAGAAGGCCGAGTAAGAGAGATTGTGGTATTTCTTGTAAATAATGTTCTGAAACATCAAGCTATATTATTAGGAAATGCAGAAGAGCAGAAAAAGAAAAAGGTAATTGTTTTATTATTCTATGATTTTCTCTAAGAAAATCTTTAAAAATATGTGAAACTTATCTTGATGACATGCTTGAAATAGCATATATAATATTTCTTATTTAACAGTAATACTTAGTAGCTTTAAATTCATTGATGTATTTTGCTTATTCTTATAGAAGAGTCTCTGGGATACCATTAATAAGAAGACAGTTTCAGCCTCATCAACTCGTAACAAGAAGATTTCAAATACTCAAAATATTAATAAAACATTTAGTGTTTCCCAAAAAGTTGACAGAGTTAGGAGCCCACTGCAAGCCTGTGAAAATGTGGCTATGAATGAAGGCAGTGCTCCAACAGAAAACAGTTCTTTAACCCTTGAAGAAAGTAAAATACCCATATCACCTATTAGCCCCGTCTTCAAAGAATGCCATGTTGAAACTTGCTTGCCATTTTCTGTACGTCGTTCTACTACCTATTCATCTCTTCATGCATCTGGAAATAGAGAACAAATACAAGTAGAAAGTGCCATTGTTTCAAAAGATTTTAATCTTGATGAGAAAATCATAACAGAGCATTCTATAAATACTAGTGGCCAAAGCGAAGTGAATACCAATCTCATCCTTACCCCAAACTGTTCTTCACCTTTAAACATTATAGGAACCCAAGGAAATTTTATAAATCCAGATTCTTTTGTAACTAACTCCCATGCAGCTAATAATGATGTAGGGTTAATGACCTGTCTGTTATCAGATACAATTACTAAAGATAATTTGAAGACTGTTCATTTGGAATCCAAAACTGTACATAAAATTTATCAAACAATTTTAAGTCCAGATTCTTTTGTAAATGGTAATTATGGATTAAATCATGATCTAGAGTCAGAGTCAGTTAAACCCTTTTTATCCCCAAGTCAATTTGTAAAAGATAACATGCCACATATATATACAGCACAGCAAACATGTAAAGATTCACCATTATCAAATGAAAACTCTCAGATTCCTCCGTTTCCACAAGACTGGATAAAAAGTGAAGTTTTTCCATGTGATCCTGAATGTCAGGGTTCAAAAACCTCCCAATTTATTCTGGAAGAACTAAACCCTGAGGCAATGAAGTCACATTACCACAGTTTTACAAAACAAAGTCATCCTAAATTTTCTGCAGTTAAACAGCCTAAGAGACGCCCAATACTTTCTGCCACTGTTACTAAAAGGAAACAAGTCTGTACTGGAGAAAGCCAGGCTGTCGTTAATAAACCAAAAGCAAAAAGATGTCTCAACAGTACAGTAGAGGAATGTGAAAAAGTAATCGATAACCAAAAAGAAAAAGAAGCTTTTCATAAGTATCTTCCAGTTATAGATCCAGAATTAACTACACCTCAGAGTTACAAAAGTGAAACAACTTCTTCAACATCTTTATTTGCTCGTAAAAGAAAAAGTGACAGAAACATGGAAGATGCGAATGTGAAGGTTGTTAGAGAACATACAGAAGTACATAAAGTCAAAAGAATTCATTTTTCTCCCTCAGAATCTAACTCATCAACTCTTAAAACAAAAAAGATGACAACACCCATCTCAAAACACTTTAAAAGCAGGGAGAAATTAAGCTCAAAGAAGAAAACTGGTGAGTCTTATTTATAACGTCTTTAGTAAAAGTATAACCTCTCTAGTGAGAGCAGTGAAACATGCTATATAAAGGGGATGTTTATTTGAGTTTAGAAAATCTTGTTTCTTTTGGCTTGGTAAATCTCCTAATAAGCTCTTAGTAATTTGTACTTGTCATTTATCATCTTGCTTATTTTAGGGCAAATGTAATGGGCTAAATTTAGAAATGGTTGTGATACTGTATTGAGGCTTTTCATATTTTGTTTAATTTTGATATCTAAAAAATGCTATTTTCAACTATTTATCTCAATTACTGATAGTTTTGGTGCATTATTAAATTTTCCATCCAAAGGAAGTACTTCACTTTATCTTAGGCTGTGCCCTGCTTGGAAGGCCCTCTGAGATGCCTGGTACCCACACTGTCATCCAAAGAATTGCCTCTGCTCCTGGTGACATTCTTCACTGTCGACCTCTGCTCAGTTACTAGTGAAGAACAAAGCTAGGTTCCTAGAATCCTGCGTTACTTTGCAAAAACATTTTTTTCTTCCCTAGTATTAAAGCTGTACCTATCTTGCCATCCCCAGATTCCTGCTTGGTTCTCTTCTCTCTTCACTGTTGTTTTTTCTGTTTTCTTTGGGGAAGTATCTTATTATCCCTAAACCATGGACTACATGAAGAATTAGTTACTGACTTACATTTTTTGTATTTTTACTCACTCTCTTAATGACCTTATTCTGTGTTCTACTTTAGAATACTATCTATGTACAGACCTTGCTTCCAAATTTATTTCTTCAGAATTGACCTCTATCCAACATATACTCCTATTTGACTTTCTAATGATCTTAATTCTTACAAAGGCATATATTTCTAACTTTATCCCAAAATATCCTATTTTCATCTCAAATATCAGCATGCAAGTCATACTTTGATACTATGCAGACCAAGAGCCTTGGAATTGTCTTAATTGTTTTTTCCCTATGCATTTAAACATACCTGATTCCGAACCTAGTGTGCCAACAAATATTTTTTTCTGTACAATGTAGTAAAATCTTGGTTTGTAACCATGAGTCATTCTAGAACTATGCTTATAATCCAATCTTGTATATCAAAGCAAATTTCCCCATTGCAAATAGTGAAATCTCAGATGAATTGTTTCACATCCCAAAAATACCCACATAAAAATGATTATAACACTGTAACATAATACAGAATAATAAAGAAAAGGCATAAAGACAAATAAATCAACCTGCACTTATCTTTAAAAGCTCTGCATTACCATGTGCTGTCTATTGGCTCAGTGGAATCTTTTTTTTTTGGCAGTGCAGTGTTAATAAGGAACCTTTCAAATTATACTCACTTTTGTCTCCTTTTGAGAATTCCACAGAAGTGCAACATTGCATTGTTGTGAAACAGATTCATCACTCACACTGGAATGGCCTTATTCCAGTGGTGGTTTTTTGCAGTTTCCTACATTTTACCCGTCTTTCTCCCTTTTTCTCCTTCTCCTCTGCCAATGACATCTCCTCCATAAACTGTTGCTGATGAGAGGGGGTCACCCACAATCCACAGTCAGAGAGAGAAAGAGATAAGAGGGAGAAGAACCATTGGCTCAGTTGTGATCATGTTTAGTATCCCATACTATTCAAGTGGAAGACACAGCACATTTATTAGAAATATTTGCTCATTTTGCAGAACACTCACAGAAGTTACAATCCAAGATTTTACTGTGTTTTCAGAGTCTTACCAATTCTCACCACTTTCCAGGGCACCATCTGAGCCTCTGTGTTATTGCAAGGTGTGCAAAGAGGTCACCTCGTTTTCATTCTTGCCTTCTCTATAGTCTGTTTTCTGTATAGTTACTTTTAGAATTCTGGAGTCTTGGACTCTTCATTCTGTACCATCTGATGGGTTCTTATGACATTGAAAGTCACAATTCTTACAGTGGTTTATAAGCCTATGTAAAGCTATTTCACCATCCGCATAGCATCCAACCTCATAATTTTCTCTCTCTCTTTCTCTGCCTCTGTTCACTCAGCTTCCTTGTGATCCTTGAGAGCTCCAGCATTCTCTGTCCTTTGCAACTTCGTGTTTACTGTCTCTAGAATGACTTGTCGTATTTATCTTCTTGTTGCTGAGACAAGTTAAAGGAGAAAGTTTATTTTAAGTCACACTTTGTAGAAATTTCAGTCCATAGTCTGCTGGCTCCATGGCAGGGCTGCGTGACAAAGGAGAAACAGTTCATGGTTTGGCAGGCACAAGGCAGCAAGTATTCCATCTCTCCCTTCACATTCTATCCAGGTTACAGATTCTTGGTTGGCTCCACCCATGCCCAAGATGGGGCTTCTCATGCCCACACCCAGAACACACTTTTGGACTGAACCAATTACCACACTTTGAATCCTATTCACACACCCTAACTCTAGCCACTTCCAAAAAGCTCCAGCTATGAGCAAATGAAGCTCTGGAGGGACATCTAGATACAAGCACTAACAACTATCTTCTCCAGTTAAAAACAATAGTGTGCCCAAAGTCACATATAATGTTAAGTACTTCCAGCTATAATTTAAACACAGATTTACATAACCACAAAGGAAATTTTCTTTCTAACATATCTTGCAACACTGTGAGGATTTAAGTAAGAAAAAAACTAAGTGAGAGCTTTTTATTTGGGGACATGACCAAAGATTCCAGTGATGGTATCCACTGTGTCAAAGCTCTGATGTGCCAGTGCACACAGAGGAACTGGTGGTTTCCAGTGTATGGTGTTATTACTCCCCCGCTCAGTGGCTCTGTGGTGTTAGACTATTTACAAACTTGTTATTTTATCATTGAACATGGTCCATTATGTGATCTATATTTATCTAGCCATATGTCTTTTTATTGTTCTAGCCATGCTAGTCTTCATGCCCTACTATGGATCTTAGAAACATTCATGTCTGTTGTCCTTGCATTAATTCAGGTCCTTTGCTTATTTCAAGTACTATCATGAGCTTTTACTACTTTTTTTTCTTAATGAATTTCCCACTAAATACATTCCTTTAGGAAATATAAATATAGCTCATATGAATGTGTATCTGCCTGATATTTCTTTATTGTTTCATGTACATCTATTTTGATCAGATAACAAATTCTTTGATTATAAGGAACGTATGTATTTTGGTCTCCTACAAGGTATGTAATAAAATGATATTTAGAATGAATGAATTAGTGAATAAGGTAATGAGTAACCATTGAAATTTTAACGCAAACCTATTTATTTGAGGCAGCTACTTGGTGAACCCCTGATTTAGAGAGAATTGTACACATTAGATACCTGATTTATGAGCCTATGTAAAAGCCAGGTAGTGCTAGACTCTCTTCTGACAAATTAGAACACAAACAAGGAAACATTTATTATTGTTATTACAAATGCTTCTTACTGGGTATGCATTGTTCTAGACTTTGTGGACTCAGGGAAAATAGATATAATTCCTAGCCTTAGGTTGCTCTCTGTGCTGATTAACCTAAACCCAGTGCATCATGCAAGCACAGAAGAGAGGCCTTGTGTCGATGTTCAGGTGGCCTGAGAAGGTGCTAAGGAAGGTTTCCTATGAATAAAATGATTGCAGGCAGAAGGAATAGCTTCTGGAGTCTAGCTCCCATGACGTTTATGTTTTAAATGTTCAAATAAAAAGATTATAACCTTATAAATACTGTGTTGCATTTATAAATGGATTTTGATCATGTTCCTTATTTTCATAATAGGAATAGATTTAAGATTCCATTTTATGCTGTGTAGGCCATATCTCTATCACAGCTGCTCTGATACTGATGATGCGTGAATCAACGAATGGCTGGGTTCTACAGACTTCTGTTTATGAATCATGAAATTTGAATTTCATATAATTTTTGTCATCAGATATTATTATTTTTCTTTTCCTTTTGTAGTATGGGGATTGAATCTAGGACCTCACACATGGTACACAAGCTAAGCTACATCCCAGCTGTTTTATGTTTTGAGACAGGGCTTTACCAAGTTTTGCAGGTTGACTGAGAAATTGTGGTTCTCTTGTCTTAGTCCTCCAGATTGCTAGGATTATAGGCATGCAGCCACCAGTCCAAGAATTTTTATTCTTTTGATATTTTCCTACAATTTAAAAATGTAAAAACTTTGCTCATAGACGATGCAAAGACAGTGTGCTGGATATCACTGTAGTTTGCTGATGTTTGCACTAAATAGCTTATTGTTCATATTTAGTAGTAGTATATGCTGTTGTGGAATATACATATCATATATATATGTATGTGTATATATATACCTCAGGATCAACCTATTCTCATTCTTTCACTTTTCTAGTTAGTTGGTCTTCATACTTTTTGCCTCCATTATTAAAATAATTTTCTAAGGCTGGGCATTTAGCTCTGTGTCATAAGCGCCTGCCTTGCAAGTGTGCAGTTGTGAGTTCGATCCCTGGTACTGATAAAAAAGAAAAAGACAAAAAAACCAAAATAATTTTCTAATTTGATCTACTGACTTTTAATTTATTTCATCATATCTAATTTAGGTCTTCAGTCTTGACATTTTACTGTCCATACTATTTTCTAAAATGTAAATGAATTAAAAAACTGAATTAAAATTCTTCACTGGCATAGTAGGTGCTTCAGGTGATTAATAGTATAGGCTGAGGAACTGTATTGCCTATGATTAAATCACTGTACTTGCTAGCTGTGTCCCCTTGTCACAAGTGGCTTACTTGCTCTAAGCCCTAGTATCCTAATTGTATAAACTGTAGATAGAACACTCTTCTGATAGATTTTTTTTGATAATTGTATGAGTAAAAGACTTAATATTTGATAGCACCCAGCATAATTATTAAAATATTAGCTACCATTGTTATTAATATGCTTAAACGCTTCCCTACCTTTTCTTATATCATTTCTCACGTATATATACAGGTCATGCCTTCAATCCCTAATGTCATTTACTGAGTTAGTTCAGTTGTACAGTCTTCCCATCCAAAAGGACTTTCCTCTCCTTTTAAGTTTCTTCCATACTAGACACAACTACCCAGGCCTGGGTATCATATCTTTTTAATTCTGCATTTTTCCTGTACCTTAGGGTCTAGAGTATATGCACACATTAAGTCGCGGTTGAATCTGGTCTGAACTATAGCTTCTGAAGACAAAAATTAATTACTATGTATGGACTATAACTTCCAGGTGTTTTATTGGTCATTGAGTTCCAAGCATAGTAATTTCAGTTGTTAAATGAATATGATTGTGGAGAACCCAAACTTTAATATTTAAATCAATTACCTATTTTAGAAATTTCATTTATTTATAATGGTATTCTCTTCTAATTTATTTTAGATTTATTAGGATTCAAAACTCCTACTTATAAAACAACCAAAAGGACAAAATCCATTGTTGCTGTGGCACAGTCTAATTTGACCTTCATCAAACCATTAAAAACAGGCATGTATTCATTATATTTAAACTATCTGAGAAAGTGATGTGGATTGAAACATTAATTTGATTTCTAATGGAAATGAATTCATTTTTGTATGTAAATAAAGATGATGAAGAATTGTTAAAATTTGTATTCAAATTAAATTAAGATATTCTATCAGACTTTACTGAAATTGACTCTCAGTGACTTGGAACATTCCAGGAAATACTATTTACTTTTCTCCTGTTGCTTTGATCATGTCTAGTACCCAGAATGTTTGCTTTTTAGCCGAGTAGTGAAAAGCAAATATTGTTTACTGTTTTAATGATTTTTTGTTTTTAGGGTTAGAAAAAAGCTTTACGTATACATTATATAATACTTTAATGGAAATTGTCTTACAAAATCATCTCATTGAATTCTTAGATATTCCAAGACACCCAATGCCATTTGCTGCAAAAAACATGTTTTATGATGAACGCTGGAAAGAGAAGCAGGAACAGGGTTTCACTTGGTGGCTAAATTTTATACTAACTCCTGATGACTTCACAGTGAACACAAATGTTTCTGAAGGTAAGCATTAAATTAATGTTTAAATTTAATAACATTCTTATAAAACATCAAACTTTTGACATTTGTCATTGTTTCATTATACTTACTCTATTATATTGCAGCTGATGGCGTGTAGTTTTCCTTACATAGATTTTCTATATTAAAATGTGCATTTCACTTTTTGTAAATTCACTATTTACTTTCTGCTTTCCATTATGTCTTAGCCAATGGAGTCGGCTTTTATGGCTAAACCATTTTGAGATATGTAGGGAGTTGCAGGATTATGAGGAATCTGAAATCATTTCATATAAGGAATTTTAAAACTTTTCGTAGTTTATTCTGAGTGAGAAGAGTTGAGTATGGGACAAGGTAGAAACATGGTACCTTTCACACATTTGATTTTGTTTGCAAGAAAAAGAGACTTTGTGCTGCTCTTAAATTGTAGGCATCAGTTTCAGGTCTAAATGAGTAAATATGAACATTTGAATTGTCAAACTGTCAGTTAAGCTATTGTCAAAATGCTGATTTCTCCATTGTTGCAATATCCATGTGTGTTTTTATTTGTTTCTTTAACTGCACCTCCCTGTGTAGTTCAGGCTGGCCTTGACCTCACTTAAAGCATGTAGCTCAGGCTGCCCTCCAGTTCTGCAGTGATCCTCCTGCCTCAGCCACCCAAGTGCTGGGATTACAGGCTCATGCCACCACACCCAACCATTGTTGCAATATTAAGACAGTGGTTTACATTTCTCAGAGAAGTGTAGGTTTTTTTAATGAAAGGAAAGATCCTTTTTTTGGTCTTCCAAAAGGAAATAAAGCCCAAAAGGGCCTTATTTCCAAAAGGAAATAAGTTTTTTTCTCTTAAGAAAATGTGTTTAATAAATGTTCCAATTACGTTTCAAAATTAAATTTTTATTTAAAAAAGATCAAATTCCTTAGATAAACTTATTAGGAGATTGGAGACAGAAACCAGTTAGAAATAATTTTCTGATTTTGTTTTCTGTTTTTTTTTTGAGACAAGAGTCTTGCTTTCTAGTCCAAACTGAACTCATGTAGCCTAGGATAATTTTGAATTTGTGGTGGTCCTCTTGCCTACCCTCCCAAGTGCTGAGATTACAGGCGTGCACCAACACACCCGGCAAGAATCCATTTTCTCAGTCTCAGAGTTGCTCATATTTGAGGTGTGACAGTGCATGCAGTGGGAAGTAGCTAGACTTGGGGTACATGCTGCAGGCAGAGCTGATAAGTGACTAGACATGGTGAGTGGTGACACTTATTATGAGACTTAAAAGTGAGATGGAAGAATTTGGGGGGAGTGGGAATGGATTCTGTTGGACCTTCTTTTCTTCTGAAGTTTTACTTTTTATTGATACACGTTTGTATCAATAAAACAATACTCTGTTCCTTGTGGGGAGGTGGTGTCTGTGGGTAACCATCTCAGTTCCATTCCGTATCTTGCCTCTCCCTTCTGCCTCTATTTCCCGCTGCAAAAAAAAAAAATGTTTTTTTGTTGTTCTTGTTTTACTGCTGAATTTAGGAATATACAGAGATATTATTTAATCAGAAACATTTCTCCTCTTTTTTTTTGTATGCAGTAAATGCTGCTACCTTGCTTTTGGGAGTGGAGAATCAACATAAAATAAGTGTTCCTAGAGCACCTACAAAAGATGAAATGTCTCTCAGAGCTTATACTGCTCGGTGCAGGTTGAATAGATTACGTCGCACGGCATGCCATCTGTTTACTTCTGAAAAAATGGTCAAAGCTATTAAAAAGCTTGAAATTGAAATTGAAGCTAAGCGGTTAATTGTACGAAAAGATAGACACCTTTGGAAAGATGTTGGTAAGATACTACAGAAATATTGAGATTAATTCCCTAAACACACTTTAGAGGTTCCCTCTCTCTCTCCTTGCCTTCTTTGCCCACTACTGGGTATTGAATCTAGAAAGCACTGAGCTACAGCCCTATCTTTTAAATTTTTTTATTTTAAGGCAGGGTCTAAATTGTCCATTCTGGCCTCTTCAGTCTCAGCTTCCCTAGTCAACTCTAATTTTTGCTTCTTTCCCATTCAGCCTGCTTTATTGAAGTATAATTGACAAATAAAAATTGTGTATATTTGACGTGTGCACCATGGTGATATGTTTGTCTTATGAAATGATGACCACAGTGAGGCTAGTTAACATATCTGCCACCTCACACATTTACCTGTGTGTGTGTGTTTGCACGCGCGCACACACATGCATACTCAGCACATTTTCTTTATCCATTCCCCTGTTGAAGGACACTCGAGATTAACCCCATAGCTTGGGTATTGTGAATAACATTGCAATATACATGAAAGTGCAGTTATCCCTTCCAGATGCTGATTTTGCTTCCTTTGTACTTATATCAAGAGTGTATATTTCAAACTACTTTAGCTTTGCTGCCTAAATTCCCCATAAGGATGATTGTGCCTATTTAAGGATAGAAATATTTGCCATTTAAATTAACTTATTTCTTATAAGTGATTTTTTTCACTGATATTATCTCTATTAAGTTGTTTGGTTTTTGTGGTATATTTTTGTTTGTTTTGTTTTTTGAGAGCTGGTCTTGAACTTGCTATGTAGCCCAGTCTGGCATTAAATGAGTTTTCTATTACCTTAGCTACCTGTGTGCTGGGATTACAGAAATGTGCTACACTGCCCAGCTTTCTATGAGGTTTTATTTATTATGTCTGTTAAATTATACCTCTGATTTTAACTTTCTTCTGACTTGCATTTCAGGAGAACGCCAGAAAGTGTTGAATTGGTTGCTATCATATAATCCTTTGTGGCTTCGAATTGGCCTAGAGGTAAACCTGCTTCAATTTTTGAAAACAATTTATGGTGTTGTTTTTTTTTTTTTTAATGATATGCTTTTAATAGAATAGACTCTTTAATAATAATTTCATTTATAAAAGCTACAGTCATTTGATTAACTTGATTCATCTTTCAGTATAAAATGCAAGATCATTTAATCAATGCTTATTAGGTAATTAGGCCATACCATTACATGTTACTACCATATTGTTGCATGTTCATATATAGTTATTTAAATACTCATAATTTTGTGCTGGATATGACAACTCTAGTAAGCTCAATTTTGAACATTTATAAATAAAAAGATTAAGCCATTTTAAAAGTTTTTAATGTAAATCACTTTGAAAATCAGTGAGGTATGTATTGTTTTCACTTCATTAGTAAAGCTTAGATGTGAATGACTTCCCAAAGGACAGTCGTTGATTGGTCAGGCTTTTAACCTACACCAGACTGATGGCAAAGCATACCTTTCTAGCCATTTTGATGGGATACTAGTAATAAAAATGTCATCTGGATTTGAATTATTTATTAGTTGCCCCAGTAATATCTCAAAATTTAAAACTAGCTGAATTAGTAATAGTACTTGGCTATTAAAAGTATGCTTTTATAAAATGGCATCTTCTGTGCTTCCTTTTGATCTTTTACTAGTAAGATTTTAATAATTATTTTTCTAGATTACTTTCATAATGTATTTTATTTCAAATGTTTAATAGAAGAATCTTTGGGGCTGAAAGGAATTTTTTGAAAATCTAGCTTCTTTGTATCATTAGCTTTAGTATCAGAGAGAATAAATAAGGTTACTGTGGGTTGTGTCATTGCTAAAATTTATTTCAGCTTTTTTACCTTTTATTAGTCAACAAATTACATATCAGTTGGCTCTGCTTTACATGTTGAATAATTATGGAACCTCTAATGAAGTAGAGGCCCCTGGTATTTGGGACATTTTGTAGGAAAGGTAGAAACATGCAAAGCAATTTATGACTTTTGCTTAGATGTACCTTTTGTTATAGGTGCACCTGATTCCACTGTACAGAACAGATTATCTAGTTAAGCCCAAACTTGGCAGGGATGTATTATCCGTCTGCAAGAGACACAGTCAATGGTTGTGGTAGGGCTGTAAATCTTTTTATAGGGTGTGGAGGGGCAGTAGTTGTGAACAGTAAAGCGTTATTTCTTGTTTCAGAAGCATACTTTAGGAGTCTATAAATAGAGATGACTTTTGAGAATTTTAAGGAAGGTTCAGCGATGAAACATATGTAAAGAAAGATAAATTTCTTATGTTTTGATGAGAATTAATACTTCTTCCTGCTTTCATTTCTATCTTATGACAATGTACGGTTATAGAATATAATTTGATGTTTTTAATATTTTCTAATTGCCTTAAAAGTCATAGTAAACTAATTTGATGTTTATCATTGATTATGAATATGTCTAAATTATTATGTATAGATCTTAGATCAATGATAGTCTTCTAGAGCTTTCAGTTATACAAACAGCCCACTGCAGCACGCGTGCCATAGGTTTACCACCATTGTTTACAAATGGTTTTCTACTTCTTAACTATTATAAAATTTTGAATAGATTTCTCTTGTTCTTTTTAGCATCTACGTAGTGGTACAATAATAAGTAAATTTGAAAACCATACACATGTTTGATAGGGCTTTGAATAAAGGAAAACAAATATAATTATTGCTTGTCTTCTGATTAGAAGTTTATCTTAGTCGAGGTTTTTTTTTCATTGTGAAATGTACCATGTACAACAAAAAGATGTATACTGCATTTTTTTTACAGTTTATTTACCAAATAGTCATGTCGTTCCGGTGCTATCTTGGAAAAGAATGGAGTTAGTGCCTTAGAAGATTGTTGTCTGCCTTTCTTGTGTCTCATCTCTTTGCTTGTTTGACATAGCATCAATTTAGCTGTGGTTTTTCTTTTCAGACAGTTTACGGAGAGCTCATATCTTTGGAAGACAATAGTGATGTCACCGGGTTGGCTGTATTTATTCTGAATCGCTTACTTTGGAATCCTGATATAGCAGCTGAATATCGGCACCCCAGTGTTCCACATCTATACAGAGATGGTATTTCTGCCTGCAATGCATTTTCTGCACACTACACATAAATGGCCTCTTGTTCTTCTTCCTGTTTGTATGTGATATTAGTTTCTCAAACAAACTAATCTAAATAGGCCTCTGTTTACCTTTGCCTTCTTTCATTCCCATTTTCTTCCATCACTGCTTATAATTACTTTTACTTCTTTGTGGTCTCTGTTCACTCAGTCTTCCAGTAGGTTGTAAGACCTGTGAATTTACATTTGTTATAGTTTGCTACTGTGTATCTAGCACCTAGGATGGTGCTTGCAGGTAGTTGGTGTTTATTAAATGTTTGTTGAGTGACATCTGTTGAATCTGTTGATGTTGCTGTGCCTGTTTCCTGGTTCAGGAACTGGACATATTGAATGCTACCTGTCCACTAGAGTTATTATGAGGATTTAATGCTTCTCACATGTAAGTCACCAGAAAAGGCACTGTGTTTTATTTGTGAATGTTACTATTTTTACTAGCATATTATTACCCGAAGGTTCAAATTGCCTTTGGTAGATAATTTGTTACTTTGTTGTACTTTATTTAAGGTCATGAAGAAGCCTTGTCCAGGTTTACACTGAAAAAGTTATTGTTGTTGGTTTGTTTCCTTGATCATGCCAAGATGTCCAAACTTATTGATCATGACCCTTGTCTTTTCTGTAAAGATGCTGAATTCAAGGTACAGTTCTCATTTTATGTTTTGTAATTCCTCTTTCACTTGAGACTTTTAAGGTTTTTATGGCATATTTTCTCTGTAGAAAGAATATTAGTTTTCCAAAGAATATTCTGAATAGGGAATAATGTGTATCTAGTGAGTCCTATTAGTAAAATACTTGATTTCACTGGCTGAGTCTTCATTACCATATCATCCATCTCACCCTTACATTTCACCCTTAAGATTGAACTTAACTATGGTTCTAAGGAATTAGATGGAGAGAATTTTTTTCCCTTAATTTAGATGCCAGTTTTGGTAGTATATTGTGAGCAGTTTTTTTTTTTTTTTTTTTTTTTTTTTTTGTCTTTTTTGTTTTTTGTTTTTTTATCGGTACCAGGGATCGAACTCACGACTGCCTGCTTGCAAGGCAGGCGCTTATGCCGCTGAGCTAAATCCCCAGCCCCTGTGAGCAGTTTTTAAAGAAAGTCTTGGAAATGTATGAAATTTACATTATTACCTGTGAAACTGGGAATCTTTTTACAAAACTGTTAATTGCATATCTGCAATTTGGAGAAGTTTTAATTGTAGGTCAGATTTTGATAAAATATAATACCTGCAACCTGTTTCTTTATAGGCTAGTAAAGAAATTCTTCTGGCTTTTTCACGAGATTTTCTAAGTGGTGAAGGTGACCTTTCCCGTCACCTGAGCTTGTTGGGATTACCTGTTAGTCATGTTCAGACACCATTTGATGAATTTGATTTTGCTGTTACAAATCTTGCTGTAGACTTGCAGTGTGGAGTGCGTCTTGTGTAAGTATAAGAAATATAATTGTTTTGCTTAGTGAGATACATAAAAGTTTTGTGGAAACTTTTATGGAAAGTTTCCATAACTTCCGTAACTTGTGGAAAGTTTTGTGGAAATGATATAGATTATTTTCTGTACTTTGATTTTTCTTACTTTTTCACATAATGGAATAAATTTAGGGTTAAACAAAACTGAAAATGCTCTTTCAGAAAAATGATGTTATCAGTTTAAGATGCAAAAATTTTGTTTGCTATCTAATTTTTCTTTTCTGCCAGCATGATTAGAATCTAACATCTTAGAACACGATTTAGGAAGAGCTTGAAACTAATTAAAATATAAAACACTTACATTGATTGTGGTTTCATGAGTTATCATTTGAGACTATTTAGTCTCACAAATGAAAACAATAAGATGAAGAGGTAGAATAACTGGCCAAGTTTTTTATGTACTAGAATTGAGTCATAAATTCGTGGTATCTCCACGAATACTGTATACTTCAGATACAGTATTTCCCTAGTAACAAATTGGAATCCTCAAAATTGACTTGGGTTTCATGATGAATACCTGTTTATGCTTTGGAAAGAATGGTTTTTACCATGTAGCTGTAGTTGGCCTTGTTAGGATTTCTGCAGTAAAAACAATCTTGTTTCTAGGGAACTCTCCAAGGTATGTTATGTTCTTACCAAGGAGACATCTTTAGGGTCAAAGGAAAGTACTTTTTTATAGCTAAGGTATATTTTTCTCTGTATATTTGTTAAACCTCAAAACAGCCAGTTAAACTCTGAAATATGAGTTAACGGCTATAAATTATTTCTGCTACAGTAAAGCTTCCAGATCTCTATCTGACCTGGTATCTTTTTGTCAGATTTTGAATTGCTTATGTTATAGCAAGAACACTGCAGATTCTCTTCATTCTGAAAGTCACATTAGCTAGGAACTTAACTGATTAGGGAAGATTTTGAATACACTTCTTAATTTCTTTGTTTTAACTAGATATATCTAGTGTATAAACTAAATGCCGTATGTCCATTTCTCATGAAGACCAGTTGAAAGAACTCAATATTTAGAAAAGTAGAACACCACGCTCTTACACGTGAATGTCTTCAAGTACTTGAAGGGTTACCTTGTGCTAAGAGATAGTTAAATGGCCAAGAAAAAGAAACACAAGTTTTGGGAAGATATGTGTTGGTTTGATCAAAACCTTGCTGATCTTCAGGCCTGCCTAAAACCAGTTCACAGTCTCAGGTTGTTCACTCAGAGGTCAGAGGGCCGCTTGGCCAGAATGGAAGCATTCTCTGACATTTTTGAGGAAGATATTTCTAGACTGAGTTTTTCTAAATCAACATATATATCTCTCCTCCCTAAGTTTCCATGGGCATTCTTTTCTTTCCTGAATTTTCTTGCCAGCTAATAGTCTTGAGAATTACAATATCTGTGTCTCTCATGAACAGTTTTTGTAGTTAATACTATTTGCTGAAAATATTTCACATGTAGTTTTGTTCCTTTTGTAAGTCCAAGCCATCATACCTATCTAATTCTACTAGCTTTCAGTTACATGCAGTAACCATTTGGGGCTTGCTTCTCCTGTAGGAACATTTACTATTTTGTAGTGGGTAAAACATATTAATCTAGATGATATTACAGATCTGAATTTAAACTCTGGAATACATGTATTTTTTAAGTAGGTACTCAAATATAATTTTTAATATTTAAAATTATATTGTGCAAGTGCATTTTACTACTCATGATTGGGTTTATTTTGGGAAATTGGTACATGCATTTAGCATATCTTAATCCATTTCAATCCTGCGCACTCCCGCCCCATTCCTCTAATTTGTCTCCTTAGGTTTCATCCTTCAGACTTAAATGAGAAAGCACTTGCTAACTATGCAACCGTGCAATTCTGAATTTTGGGGGTTCTCTTTGACCTTCACATGCTTAAACTTAAGGGATTTGTATAGATAATAACTATTTAAATGAAAGGATTTTTTTTGGCAAAAAATGCATGTTTTATATAGCAATTTTATCTGATAACTATTTTACTCTTAGGCGAACCATGGAACTTCTCACACAGAACTGGAATCTCTCAAAGAAACTCAGGATGCCTGCAATAAGTCGTCTTCAAAAGATGCACAATGTTGATATTGTTCTTCAAATTCTTAAATCACGAGGAATTCAATTAAGTGATGAGCATGGTAAAAACAGGAAAGATAAATTTTAATTCACCGAATATTGATAAGTATATACATTATACTAATAGACTGCTGTTTCACTTTTAGGAAATACAATCCTATCTAAGGACATTGTGGACAGGCACAGAGAAAAAACTCTTGGGTTGCTTTGGAAAATAGCATTTGCTTTTCAGGTATTGTACATTTGGGACAGTGTACTTTTTACACACTGAATTTTGAATATTGATTTATTAATACTAACACTGATAACCATCTGTGAAGTTTAGTCTGTCCCAGGGGTTGATAATTGCTTTATGTATTCCAGTTTTTTCTTCATTGCATGAAGTTCAGTCTGTCTCACAGAGACAGAAACTAACTCTAAAGTACATTATTAATAAGAATTAGACCTGAGATTTGAATGCGAGCTTGTGTGACCTATATCCCATGTTCTTAACCACAACATTCTACCATTTCTGTATAGTTTATATTTCCTTTTTTTTTTTTTCCTGTCAGGTTCTCACTATGTAATTTGGGCTGGCCTTGTAGTTTGGTCTTGAACTTGCAATGATCCTCCTGCCTCAGCCTCCTGAGTGTAGGGATTACAGGCATGCACCACCATGGCCAGCTTTTTTTTTTTCTATCTTTTTGAGACAGAGTTTCACTATGTAGTTCAGGCTGGCCTAAAACTTACTTCTTAGTCCAGGCTTGGCCTTGAACTGTCAGCAATCCTCCTGCCTCAGCCTCCCTAAGCAAGGGGTTAGAGATATTCACCATCATACCCCTATGCCTGGCTATATTTGCCTTTTTTAAAAAAGTTCTTTGGTGCTAAAATATACAGTTTGGATACTTCTTAGATTTTTAAAATCCATGACTAGGTTACATTTTATTCCAAATTTATACAGTTTCTCTAAGTAGAAGAGTTACTTTGATTACTGTGGATTAAAAAAAATATGAAAAAGTTAAAATATTTATTTGTATGTTGCAGGTAGAGATTTCCCTTAACTTAGATCAATTAAAGGAAGAAATTAACTTTCTAAAAGACACACAGAGTATAAAGAAAACAATGTCTGCATCATCGTGCCATTCTGATGCTGTTAAAAATAAGAAGAAAGACCAAGGGCATAGTAGTACCTTACATCACTACAGTGAGAGTGTGAAGTTATTGATGGATTGGGTAAATTCTGTTTGTGCTTTCTATGAGAAAAAGGTAAGTTCTTTTGCTTTTGTTTTAATCCAGTTATCTTTGCACAAATAAATTTTATTTAAAGTCAAACTTATGTATAAGAACTTTTCTTCCAGTTTTGAAATAGTTTATGTATATGAACAAACTTTTTCTCAAATGAGCATTTTGTCATGTTATATTTTATATAATCTGTCACCAATTATACCACATGTGGTAATTTTATCAGTAAGAAAAAAGTTACAGATAAAACATTTTTATAAAAATGTTTGAATATATCTAGGATACAAGATAATCAAAATCTTAGAATAAAGATAAATGCGAAGTGAAACCATCCTGCAGAAGGTACAACCAAGAACTTGGCTACGACTATACAAACAGAAAGTAAAATCTAAGTTGCATTTTTCTCTAGTAACTTGTTAGGTTGTTACTGTATTACTGTGTGAGATAAACTTTAAAGTGCAAATATAGGAAAATAAATTGCCCAGACAGAAATGAATAAATAGCTTGTCATGATATATAAAACATGAAGAATGATATACAGTACATGTAATTAAATATATTAAACCTCAAAGTTATTAGCAGACAGGTAGTCAAATCTGTGGATAACCTGGGTCTTATGTAAGTGCTAGAGAGCTAAGTAAGATCCAGTTAAAATTTATTTCTAATGCCAAAGTCAACCCTGGGGACTTTATGGATGGTCGTTTGCTGATGTGCCAATACCAAGGCTCTTTTTTCCATGGTAGATTCAACAAGATGATACTGTACCCTGTCAGGTTAGCTTTTAGACTATGAGCACATGTCCTTTGCATGGTCTATTTAGTGCTGTGTTTTCTACATTTTTGTGATTTTTTGTTGTTGATATCCTAGTTTAAAGTGTCCCTCAGATACAGTGCTGAAGCAATGTATAATGTTCTTTCTGTCTGTCTGTTTTACTTTCTTTCTTTCTTTCTTTTGTTTTTTTTTTTTTTTTTTTTTTTTTTTTTTTTTTTTTTTTGACACTAGAAATCAAAATCAGGACTTTGTGCTGGCCAGTCAGGTGTTGGGGCAGAGCTATATCTCTGGCTCAATGTATGGTATTCTTAAGAGAAAACTGAAATCTAAAGTCACAATGAATAAGTAAGATTTATGCAGGCATTGAATACACTGCTATTGGCTGTGACTTTTAACATTATTGAGTCAGAAGTAAACATAAATTGGAGTTATATGTTGATTGACTGATAAAAATGTAGTGACAGAAGCTCATAGGAACTTAACCCTGTTTTTCCCCTATAAACAGTGGTTCAGTAGTCCCTCCTTCAGTATTCAGTAGATATATGAGAACTGACTCTAACTGTAGCTTCTTAAGAATGCCATAACAAAATATTATAAATTGAGTGGCTTTAAAATAGCAACTTATTTTCTCAGTTCTAGAGGTTAGAAATCTGAAATCAAGGAGTTAGTGTTGTCCATACTCTTTACTAAAACTCTAGGTGAGACACTCCATACTCTTAAGTTTTGATGGTTGTCAGTAATCTTTATTAACACATTATTCCAGTCTTTTCTTCTGCAATCAGGTGGTGTTCTCTCTGTTTCTGTCTGTGTGTCTGTCTTATAAGAGCATCACTTTGATTGGATTAAGAATCCTTTCTATACCAGCGTAACCTCCTACTAAGTAACTATTATTTGTAATGCCTGTTTCCAACTAATGTCACATTCTGAGGTTCTGAGAAAGATATAAAGTCTTGAGAAACACTATCTAACCCAGAATGATGTTATCAGAATCCACTTTTGAAAAGAATAATATTTGATGATTGATAATTTGGCAATGAATATGGTACCATACTAGGTATTAGCAATTAATATTCTTTTTAGTTATTAAAAGGAAATAATGAACTACGAAACCATTATTAGTATTTAAATACAACGAATTATTTTTCTGGTATTTCTAATCAGGTGGAGAATTTTACAGTATCTTTCTCAGATGGCCGTGTGTTGTGTTACCTGATCCATCACTACCATCCTTGCTACGTGCCTTTTGATGCTATATGTCAGCGCACTACTCAGACTGTGGAATGCACACAGACCGGCTCAGTGGTATTAAATTCTTCCTCTGAATCTGATGATAGTTATTTTGATATGTCTCATAAAGCACCTGATCATGGTTAGTCTTTTTTTCTTGATTAACTTTTCTAATTCTCATTCATGTCTGCTTTTGGATTATAGCAGTCTAATTTCTCTCTCTCTCTCTTTTTTTTTTTTTTCACTTGCATGATAGAAAATAATACTGAACTATACAAAGAACTTCTGGAAAATGAAAAGAAAAATTTTCATTTAGTTAGGTCTGCAGTTAGAGACCTTGGAGGGATACCTGCTATGATTCATCACTCAGATATGTCAAATACAATTCCAGATGAAAAGGTAAGTAAAAGAAGTTCCTTAAGTAATAACTCTAAATAAAGCTCAGACTGATAGCAAGTTGTATGTTCTCTGTTGCTCTGTTTTCATCTTTCGTGTTTGCTTTTAGGTGGTTATTATGTATTTGTCATTTCTTTGTGCACGGCTTTTGGATCTTCGTAAAGAAATACGAGCTGCTCGACTTATACAGACAACATGGAGAAAGTATAAAATAAAAAGAGATCTAAAACACCTTCAGGTAATCCTGGAAAGCAAAAACATTATAACTCGAGTTGTATTTCTTAAGATATTGGTTGATTAATCCTTATGTGTATTTTACATTTTTACAAATATATGAATTGATTGAGATACATTTAAAATTGTTTGTATATATTTTGGGGTGGGAAGGGATATTTCCCTTCACTTGCTACGGCTTCCTCCTTGATGTATCTTACAACCTGTGCTCTACCCTTTCACTTGTCTGCTCCAGAGGAAAAGGAGTAACTTACCTGCTTTGTAACTTGCGAAAAATAAACTAGAGATGCTTGACTCAGCCCTTCCTTTCTTTCCATAGGAGTATCTGGATCCAGAGAGCAGGAATTTGGAAGTAATTTTTTCTGTTGTGCTCTGTGAGGCCTATCCTCCACTTGCGCCATGTGGACCTGGGCATCAATTGTTTGAATTTGCAATAATTAAGAGCATTTTGTTTGTCATGAAACCATCTTCCAGCTTATTCTTTATTAGTTTTAAAAATGGTACTTTGGTTTCCATGGTTTTATTTTTTATAATATTTAGGTACTGTGTGCAGAAATAAAAATGTTACTTATTGTCTCCGTGAACCCAACTTTGCATAACATAGCATAAAATAACATGTGCATAGCATAGCATAGTGTAAAATATCCCCCACTCCGGGTTTTGAGAAAAATAATTTTGGGGAGGTGGTGATAACAAGGACTGAAACCAGGTCCTTCAAACTGAGTGCATCTGCATCCCTATTTTTATTTTTTATTTTGAGACAGAATCTTGCTAAGTTGTCTAATTCTGCTACCTCACCCTCCTAGGGTACTAGGATTACAGGATGTGCCTCCATGCCTGGTGAAAAATTCCAGTTTTGAGAATATAGTAAATGGTTTTCTTGATCAAGATGAGCAAATTATTTTGATCCTTTCATCTCCTTATCCCCTTCACTAATAATGTATTTATTTATTTGGAAAAAAATCAAATAAAACTATCGTTTAATAAAACTTTATCATATATATTTCAGAAATATACTCTATCTAATATTGCTCAATTTTGAATTACAGTGCATTTATGGTCAAATTCCTAATAGTTGTCTAAAACAGCTAAATTTTAGGATCAAACATGTATTTTCTCATGCTATATTTGACTTGGAAATAACACCAATTGTAGTGATTTGCTCTTGCCTACTCCATGTCCTCGTCACAACTTTTGAGAAATAGAAAGTCTTATACTCAAAAAACATCTTCTCTGCTGTCTTGTATTACCTGTTTCTCAAGTTCTGCACAAACTGAAGCATTTCCCACAAATTGAAGAATAATGTACTGTTGGAAGCATCTATGAGAATTGATCTTCAAAAGTTTTCAGGGAAAACTGTCCTTCTGATCAGTCCTTAAGTTATTTGATTGATCCTTTTTATGTGTTAGTGAATTTTCAAATTATAGAATCCAATGTTCATCAAAATGTATATATTCTGCTTCATTTTCTGCCTCAGGTAGCTTTGTGTTAGTCAGCTGTTTACTGTATAGGTTTCTTGGCTTTGGCTGGTAGCCTTTTTGATTCTTTTAATATGGAGAGTAGAAAGTTCCAGTTTTTTTGAAAGGGTAAATGAAAAGAAACTTGTGTATCTATGATTAACCTTCTCTCCAATCTGCCCACTGCTTCTCTCCTATCTCCTCATAGTCGTGTTCTCTTTCTTACACAATTACACTAACATCCAGTTATATCATTTTGTATTTGAGGCATAAGCCACAAGCGCCCAAAGATGCTGTCCTAGTAAGCTATAAACATTATCATAATACAGCTGTTATTCAGGTTTTATTTTTTACTTCATTATTGTAATTAATATGTATACTATCCACTTAAAATCAAGTGGCTCGACCCAAATACTATATAGTTCTGAAATATCAGTTTTAAAATGTTATTTTATTTATTTATTCATTCATTCATTCATTTACTTTTGTTAATAAGGGTATAATTTTAACTTGAATCTCTGTAGCCCTAAAGACCATAGGTTTTTTTAGGGATACTAACAATGATGTTAGATGATTTAATCAATTTACTATACTTAATTCTGCAAGTCTAGTTTTAAAATTGTCTAGTCTTTTTCTGCTCAGTGGAGTGATCCACTCTATGTCCCTTAACATTCTTTAGCATTTGTTTCAGTGTATTGATTACATTTTTCATGTTTCAGAATAACAGTTTGATCTTTTTCATAGGTGTTCTTGTACTATGTAGGTACTACACACAGATAACATCCGCTGATTGTTATTTATTAATAATTAGAATCTTGATAGGAGATCGTCCCAGACAGCAGCATACAAGGTTGTCAGATATTCTATAAGTTGTCCTTTCCCACAAGAGGAAATAACTCATATTCTAGTTTCCAGTTCAGATCAAGTGACACATTTAGCATTACAGAATATTAACAAAGTGATTAAGGGCATGGTTTCTGAAATCAGATGACCGGGTTCAAATCCTGGCTGCATTGCCAGTAGACTTATAAGCCATTTGACTTCTTTGCCTCAGTTTTCTTGGGTTCATAACATAGTATCTGTTCATTAGCTCTTACAAGGTTCAGATGTGTAATTTATGAATTGTTTGAAATGGTGCTGGATATAAAATGTATTATTGTTGGTGGTTCATTTTTAGAAGGAATGGAAATAGAGACATGAAGGAAACTGATCTCTAGTGTTCTTAAGGCTGGTGCGGTTGGTCGAGTCCAGAACCACTTCGCAAAACCCAGACCGTACTTTCTTCTCTTGAGTCTCAATAGCCATCCTGTATATTATAATAAAGGAAGTGGCATTTCATTTTTGCCCTTTTGTGAATTGCTTTGTTCCATTTTAATAAAATGATGCTATCTTATACTGCAAATCATTTTTATACATTCCATCCCTTTTCTAAAAGTCAAGCATAAATTTACTGTACCCAAATCTGAAAAATATACCTTATTATACTTAAATTCCTTTTTATCTTGTTTCCTGGTGATTTATGGTAAGTAAAACACATCTGTGGCCTTTCTTGTAGACTATTAGGAATCTTTGTTTTACCATGCCAATAAATCTACAAGCCCACCTGTCGGCCCTTTCAACATGCCCAGAAGGAGTGATTTCCAACTGTGAACACAAAATATGGGAGGAAGATGGGGTGATTTATTTGCACGATCAGTTTGATTAATTCTTAATAAATATCTTACAAAGAATAATTTAAAGTCTTAATAATTAAGTATTTAATTCACAGGTGCTTTTTTGTTGTGTTTAAAGGAGAGAGACAAAGCTGCAAGAATTATTCAATCATCTGTAATCAGTTTTCTGGCTAAACGAAGACTAAAGAAGAAGGTTAATGCAGCACTGATCATTCAGAAATGTTGGCGAAGAGTCTTAGCACAGAGAAGATTGTTAATGTTAAGAAGGGAAAAACTGGAAAAAATTCAAAATAAATCAGCATCAGTTATTCAGGTATAGTATCCTGGACTAATTTTTAAACTTGAAACGTTTAAAAACTACATTTTTAAAGGTAGAAGGCATAATATAAGTTTTTTAATAGGTATGTTTTAGGATTCTTTAATACAGTTGCTCCTAGGTAACTGACAAGTTTCTAAATCTGCCTCTTGGATGCCCAGATGTGTGATGTTCAATCCCTATGTAAAGTAGTACATTTGCATATAACCTATTGTAGCTTCCTGTGTAACTCACATTTCATCTGTATTATTTATAATACCTAAGGCAGTGTGAATGTCAACAGTTGTAACATTGTTTTGCTTGTGGAATTATGATAAGCAGAAAGTTTGTTAAAGTTCAGTTCAGGCAAGACACAGTCATTATTCTTTACATATCTTCATGGGTAGTTTATTGAATTCAGGATGTGGAATGTGCTGATCCGAAGGGTTTATTGGTGCTTAATTTAACAAATACTTAACATCTTGCTACTTGTAAAACCATGCTGTATTCAGCATAAGACTGAAACATGACTCATATGCCTTCTTTGCTCTGAAAGAGAAATATTCTAATTCCATACCTCTTGCGATCTTTGTTTTATATTAGAGACTTGTAATCTTCATCTCCGTAGGACAGGCTGGCATACTATAGCATTCTGCTTTGTAGGTCCATATCTCTGACCTAACCAAGCTCTCCTTTTTATATTCACTGAGAAACAGAAACTTTTCTTTCAGGACAAATGTACATTTCTTCTCTAGTGCATTTTGATGGTGTGTAACAGAAATAGTGCTTATAATTAGCCAGTAGAATGCCTACATTATTTTTCTTTGAAGTAAAGAATATGCATTATATCTACTTTATATAGTAGTCATGTTCCTAACATCTTTGTAAATTAATATTCTATTTTAATAACATTAGAGATGTGTGCTATTCATTTTTTTAATTTTTTGTGGTACAGGAAATCAAATTTGAGGCATTCAACAGGTGTTCTACCACAGGCTACATTGCCAGCTCAGAGATGTGTCGTATTTAAGTTAACCCCTGGTAAATCACATTGAAACTTCACACCATAAATTTTATCTGTTTTACAAATTTGAAAGTTTTTGGTTTGGGCCACCAAAATTGATAAATGGGAGATTCTGATTTAATAAATTGTCTTTTTTTTTTTGAAATTTTTAAAATCATGAAATGTTGCAGATAGACAGAAAATTTCACACAGAATATAAAACCAAATGTTTTTTGAAACCACCTGGGCCAAGAAACAGTATACGATAGCTTCTTTGAAGACATTTCCCAATCAGTTAACTCTCCTGGTACAACACCCTTAGCTAATTTATGCTAACTATGTGTTTTTTTCTATTCATCGTCTTTAAATAGTATAGTTTTGTTGCCTGTTCTTGGAATTTTGGATAAATTTGTCTAGATTCTTTCATTGGTCATTATTACATTTATGAGATTGGTTAATGTGCTTGAGTAAGCATAAAGTCTTTGCCTACACCATATTTTTACATATTATATCTTCCAGCAGATTTAATGTTTCTGTTGTAACAGATCTTTAATCCATTTTGAATTTAGTTTAGTATATGGTGAAATATATGGGTCCAATGTTAATCTTCAACATGTACACAGCCAGTTTTTCTAGCACCCCTTATTAAAGGGTGTTTGACACCTTTGTTAAAGATAAGGTGATTTATTATGTCTGGAGTTGTTTCTGCATCTTTTAATCTGTTCTGCTGATCTTTGGATCCGGTTTTTTGGTTCTTCCTATTCAAGATCAAGGGTTATCTTTCCCTTTTCTGATATCCTCTTCAATCCCCTTCTTCAGAGTACTGTAGTTTTCAATGTAGAGATCTTTTACGTCCTTCTTTAGTTTGATTCTTAGTTATTTCATTTTTTTGGATGCTATTGTGAAAAATGTTGTTTCCCTGTTTTCTCTCAATGAGTTTGTTATTTGTGAACAGAGAGGCTATCGATTTGTGAGTGTTGACTCTGTATCCAGATATGCTACTAAATTTGCTTATTAAATTTTGCAGTATTTAAATGGAGTTTTTGGAGGTCTTCTATGTATAGTATCTCCTGTAAATAATGCTAATTTGACTTCTTTTCCTGTCTTCATTTGTTTTGTCATTCTAATTGCTCTGGCTAAAGTTTCCAGGGCTATGTTGAGTAAGAGTGAAGACAGTAGACATCCTTGTATGATTCCTGATTTTAGAGAGAAAACTTTCAGTTTTACTTAGTATCATGTTGGTTGATGGTTTGTTATAGATGGCTTTTATCAGATTGAAGTAAAGACCATCTATTCCAATTTTCTGTAGAGTTTCTATCATGAATAAATGCTGAAATTTGTCAAAAGCTTTTTCTGCGTCTATTGAGATGATCATGTGATTTTTGTCCTTGGCTCTGTTAATATGGTGTATTACATTTATTGATTTACATATGTTGAACCATCTGTGTATCTCTGGAATGAATCCTACTTGGTCATGGTCTGATGATTTGCTGCATTCTGGATGTTATTATGGATTTTTTCATCTATGTTCCTTAGGGAGATTGGCCTATAATTCTCTTTCTTAGCTGAGCCCTTCTCCAGTTTTGGTACAGGATAATGCTTGCTTCCAGCAATGAATTTGGGGGTATTGCTTCCCTTTCAGTTTTATTAAGAAGTTTGAGAAGTAGTGGTCTTAAGTCTTCTCTAAATTTCATGTAGAATTCAGCAGAGAATCTGTCAGGGTCTGGACTTTGCTGGTAAGTTTTTAATTACAATATCAATTTCCCTGATTGATTTTGGTTTATTTAAGATTTTTATATCTTCTTGACTCAGATTTGGTAATTCTTATGTATCTAAGAATCTGGCCATTTCTTTTGCATTTTTCCATCTTAATAGAATGCAAGTTTTCAAAGTAGATATAGATGATCTTCTGGATTTCTATAAGGTCTATTATGATTTTACCCCTTTTTATTCTTAATTGCATGGATTTGAGTCTTTCCTTTTTTGATAAGATTAATTAAGTCTGTTAGCAAAGTTTGTCAATTTTTAATCTTTCACAGAACTAAATTCATTGGTTCTTTGTATTTTTTGTCTTCAATGTATTAATTTCTGCTCTTTATAATTTCCTCCTTCGATGAACTTTCACCATTAAGTTGTTTATTTGCACTTGCTCTGTTTTCCTGATATGCCTATTTACTATAAATTGACCTCTCAAGACTACTTTAAAATCCAAGATGTGTAAATTTTGTTGTAAAAAAGAGAGGGAAAAAAAAAAAAAAAGAAAAAGAGCTCTAACGGATATAACAGCAAGTGTGTTTGGGGGTGTTAAATAGCTGACTTTATCAATGTTTTTGGAACATTGAACACAGCTGTTTGCAGTCTCCCTGTTTGAATGTCCACCTTGTGTTCTTTGATACTGTGATTTGAGGAACTATTTTCAAGAAAATAGTGTGTAATCTACTAGCAGGTAATTTCTTACTGTTATGGTTTTTTGTTTCGTTTTGTTTTGTTTTGTTTTGTAGTTCTGTATTGCGTGTACCCTTACGCCGCTTTGGTTTGTTTTGTGTTTTTCTCTTTTTCCTCTTAAATTAAAAAAAAAAAAAAAAAAGACTACTTTCATAAGTTCTGCTATGTTGTATTGTCATTATCATTCAATTGTAATAACTGTCTAATTCCTTCTTTTATTTCCTTTGTGACCAGTTGGTTGTTCAGAAAGGTGCTATTTAATTCCATGTGTTTATGAAGTTCTTGTGGTTTGTTTTGCCATTGATTTCCAATTTCATTGCACTATTATCTGATAATATGCATGGGATAATTTCAATTCCTTTGCCTTTGAGCTAGTATGTAGTTTATTTTGGAGAATTTTCTATGTGCAGCTGAGAAGAATGTATATTCTGATGTTGTGGAGTACAATACTTTGTAGGCATATACCAAGTCCATTTGTTCAAAATTTTGTTCAGTTTTAATATTTCATTGTTGATTTTTTCATCTAATTGATTAATGTCTTTTTGTGACAGTGTGGTATTGAGATCATCCGAAACAATTTGTATTAGTGCTTGTTTGATTATTCATGCCCATTAGTATTTGTTTTATATAGTTGGGTGCACTGGTATTTGTTGCATATTTATTCATGATTGTTACAGATTCTTCTTGGATTTTTCCCTTTACAAGGATGTAGTGACCTTCTTTTTCTCTCTTAATCAGTCTCAGCTTGAAATCCACTTTGTCTGCAAATAGTATAGCTACCCCTGCTTTTTTCTGGGTTTCTGATGCATGGAGTACTTTTTTCAGCCTTTGACTTTATGGTTTCTTTTTGAATTAAGTGTTTTTCTTGTGTGCATCATATTATTGGATTTTGTTTCTTGATCCATTCTCCAGTTTGTGTCTTTTGGTTGGTGAAATGAGACCATTAACATTGATGGTTATTTCTGATATATATCAACTTATCCTTGTCATGTTATTTTCCTGTTATTGCCCCCCCCCCTTTTTTTCCCCTACCTCTGTTTGTTTACCTTGTGTGGTAGATTCCTTCTGTTGAGTTCATGGAGTTGTAGTCCTTGTTACCTCTTTTTAGAACTTCCTTCAAAACAATTTGGAGTGCTGGTTTGGTGGTTATAGATTTCCTGAAAACTCTTTGTCATGAAAGTTTCTTATTTCTCCATCAGTTTTGAAATATAGTTTTATAGGTGCATCAATTTGGGTTGTGAAGGTTCTTTTCCTTTAGAACTTGAAATATTTAACTCCAAACTCTCCTTGACTTGAAGGTTTGTGCTGAAAGAGTCAGCTGTGATTCTGATGGGCTTTCCTTTGTAGGTGATTTGTTTCTTTTTCCCTAACACCTTTTAAGATTCTGGTCTTGTGTTGAATTTCTGGAATCTTGACTGGCTGCAGGTATTTTTTGGTTGTGGCTAATTGGGATTCTATATGCCTCACTTATTTGCATGTGAAATTCTTTTTGTCTATCAGGGAAGTTTTCTGTCTTGACATCTATGAACAGTTTTTTTAATATTATTTGTGCTATCTCCTGCTTTTTCAT